AGGCCATATGCGGCACATTGTGGAAAGCGAAAACCTGTATGTACTCTAACATTATAAGCAGGATTATATTAAGGACCTCCATACTATTTTTCAGCACAAAAGCTTGTAATGTGATTCTGATTCTATCTCAGACTGATCTTCACATCCAACATACGGATACCGAGGCCATTAGGAATAGTGCTTTGACTACGGACCAGTCAGTCAATGCTGATTCGTTTACTGTTCTTGCATGGTACGCACTCAAAAGCACAAGCGGAAAGGCTACATTGGATTTCCCCATGGATAACTCCTTGTAAGCTGACTAGATGTCCCGTGGATAAACGGGCAGATAATGAAACTCATTCAGCTGAGAAAAATGTCATGAAACCTTCCTGCACTGATTAGACTCTAACGTCTCTGGCTAAAGTACTGTAAAACAAGCAACCAGTATAATGCCTTGATTAACCGATATTGGAAGGTATATAAATCACAGCTAGTTATAAACTCACAGGTCTGTTGCAAAAGACTTTACGCGCGTATAGAGAGAAAAACTGCGAAATGTGGAACCACCTCTGGTATTCCAAAGGTTGAAGACTGGTTAAATATGGCTGTTTATAATTTTTTAAAGCTAGTTTAAGTACTTCAACCATATTTTCTGATAGAATAATGCTATACGCGGTGCAGATTTTCCAGAAAATGGTTTCGGAATAGTAGCTCAACATTTTAAGAAGGAAAACACCTAAAATCGCTAATAAGCGTCAATAATAGTAACCACTCTGGCTCTAATGAACTACAGTCACAAGTATTATCGCCACCGGTAGCAACCGTAACCACATCATCGCCAGTGTCTTTCAGCACTTTGCTAGGGCAGTCTGAATCTTCAAAACTTACAAGATGCCTTGTCATTGGTCTAGACCTATCAGTCCTTGGCATAATCTTCTCAGGAAGGTGCGACCAAATGGCGGATACATGTGATAGACGACTAACTTCGAGGTAGACAAATGTCAAGGTGAGTGTTCGCCACTCAGCAAGTCTGGTGCAGTCTCCGTCAGCTTGAAACAGAAAGTTCCGAAAAATACCAATGGAGCTTCCCAATTCAAATGTAAAAATCTTCCAGCTACCAACGTTGGTCCAAAAATTACTCCTACCGTAAAGATACATGACCCCTCAATATCCACTTATCCAAGGATATCAGTTCCCTACAAGCGAAAAGTGTGGAGGGCGGAATATGCCTACGTGCTTCTGTTGGGAGTTACTGGATCCACGAGCAGTCAGTGGTATTCGACGTTGCATATCGCGCCTAAGGAAAATCAAATCCAATACCTCGCTTGAGATGATAGTAAGGCCCTGAACTAGTGGGCCGTACCACATAGATAAGCTTTTCCTCACATTTAAGACTTTTGCAGTAGTTTTTGCGTCACCACAGTATTTATTAAAGTGGACTTAGTTCGCGAGTATCACATACTTAGGACACCAATCGCCACCCGATGAGAATAGTTTAATTTTGTGAGGATGCCATTTGGTCTTCAGTATTCTTCACGAACTGCTCAAGGATTTATGGAAGACTTACTATATGAATGCTCGTTTGTCAAGGGCCACATAAATTACCTGCTCATCTCCAGCTTGGATACAAGCATATAAGAGGGCCATAGTGGGGGAATGTTATGAAAACTAGAAGGCAATGGTGTGATAACCAACTGGATTTAATGTGTACTTGCAGCGGGAACAATAGAGTTCCTCGGGTATGTCACTAACAACACTGGGATACTACTGACCATTAACTACTGTCCCATTCACTCACCCAGCTGAGACGTTTCATGGGTTTGATTGTGTTCTGTGGACGTTTTATACCTAATCGCACACATTACAGGTGGTTCCTGACTGATACACCAAGGGAAGAACCACAGGACTTTCAGTTTTCAAAAGAGGTAGCAAATGCACTTGTTCAGCTGAGAGACGCGCTAGCTAATGTCACACCCCAAAAATATTCTCTGGAAGCAGCTGCAAACCACCTAGTTGTTAACGGCTGAACGTCCCTGTCCTGTGGAAAGAAGGTAATCCAACTTCTGCACAGAGTTGCTAACAATACATCTGACCGCTAGACACTTTCGCTACATAGAAGAATGCCGGTCATTCATAGTCTACACAGATAGTAAACCTCTCACCTAGGCATTCAACGTGAAGGCTAAAAAATGCTCGCTATGCGAGATTAGTCATGTTGATTTTATATCGCAGTTCACTAGTGATATAAAACACTTGAACGGGGGTGGAGAACTGTGTGGCTGATTGCACTGCATAAAGCAATCGTGAATACAGCGCAACAAACCATTATAGACTTCAAAGCACTGACAAAACATCAAAAGAATGACGATGAGTTGAACCGTATCCTCATTGCAAATGACCGTACCCTCAATATCCAATTATTACCACCCGCTGTAGCTGGTAACCTTATATACTGCAACTCAACGGAATATCATCCCATATTATTCGTTCCTAAGACCAAAGAAAACCCTAAATGACTAATTTCTACTCCTTATCTCACCCCGTAGCAGGAGCTTCAGCTAAATTATCTCTACAACTTAAACTTGGCTGAACATATAACGCAACTCGCAAAGGTGGGCGAGAGGATATGTATTGTTCCATGGAGCGAAAGAAAATAGATACACAGTGTCACCTATATGAACTATGTTGCAGTCTGCTACTCATTTTCCGACTTTCATATGGAATTCGTACGTTCCTTGACATACTCTAAAGGATTCCCATACCTGTTGGCATACTTTGACAGGCTAAATAGATCCCCTGTAACCACGTCACTTAATAAAATTACAGGGAAAACGATAGCAAAGGTCTTTCTTCAACACTAGCTAGCCACGTTCAGCATGTCTATTTCAATAACTACTGGCAGAGGAGCTCAATTCGACTCACAACTCGTTGGAGTTTCTAGGTCCAAACAAAATTGGTGGAACACCTTAACTGACAGCTGAAGTCTGCGTTAACACCTCACTCAGACCCCACCCATTGGATGGAGTTTCCTCAGAGTTAATGCTTGGTACCGGAACATTAATCATAACTGATGCTCAGTTTTCAGCAGAGGAGGTGGTATCTGAAACCATTCTGAAACCCACTGGAGAGCTTATCAGCCCTGATGTTGATAAGAAAAAATTCACCAGGCTATAGTGTTGGCACGCTTTGACTACGAATGGCTAAATTAAGGCCGATTTAATCATGGGGACAAAACAAAGCAGCATTTATAACCAGAGACTCGAATTCGTGCCGCAACATATGGGTGAGATGAGACAAAATACAGTCATCCCTGACTCCACCATGCGTAGGTCCGTTAGAAGTGTCTACAAAGCACACCAAACACTTTGTGACTCAACGAAAGTGTCACAGACAGTGTAAGTGTCGACGGATCAAACTCGGTCCTTGTAGAGGACAACCTCTTATCCTGTGTACTTACAGACAGACTCCCGCAAGTTAGAGTCAGCAACACAGGTGCTGAAATGCCAGCTACCAAGACTGGTAAGCGAGCTGAATAGGCTGCAACTGTGACTGAGAGAAAGCTTATAATAAAAGCGCAGAGAGGATAAAGTAAAAACCAGACACTCCAAAACACATTATTCCCTTGTCATGCACCCCTATTTACCAAAAGAATTGACAATATAAGAAGAATATGCCTAAGGTGCTTTTTCCTTGTTCTGCAAAGATATTAGAAAAACAAATCATTTTTTTGATTACAGCTTGATTCCACACCGTATTTTCAGTACATGTATGGAATTTTCGGCATGGATATCGGTAGCTGAAATTTACAGGCCTACCATAGATATCGGGTGTGCGCCGGCAGGGGATCGAATCCCGGACCATGTGCATGGTCGGCGAGAGTCCTAACCACTGTGCCACCGACGCACAAATAAAGGGATGATCCGAAGACCTCCCCACTAGCAAAAACTACGCGTCCGAGCGAGCCCGATTAGGGATCGTCGCAGGCTTCAACACGCCGAAGTGCAAATTGTCAGAGCTTTGTAAAATCCCACCACACCTACATGGTGTTGGACAGTTCATTAGTGGTATTTGCTTAAGTGACTTCCTCCCCACCCACTGGGGTTTTACCTGCCGTGTCAGTGCTGGATTCTCGTCAGCGTGTGGCAAGATGAACCCCTCACGCCAGCATGCGTACATTGGTGATCATTCTAGTATTGAAATCGAGAGCGATCAGTTGGATAATATCAGGTAATCATTCCTTTAGTGGGAAGCATAAGCACTGTTTCAACCTAGCAAAAAATACGAAATACACACAGGAGTCACGCCCCAAAGAAATGACATCTATGGGCACGCTAACTTGACTTTTTCTACGGATTTCTAAAACATTTATACAACCGCGCTGGGTACCATCCAAGCTCATCCTTTATTCCTGCTCAGGATGCCTCATCTCACTCTTCTGACGACTGCAGATGTTCACTTCATTAAATTTCATTGTATACTTATCTGTGTTATTTTTCATTTGGAAGTCTGCATAATCCCTACTAGTTTCATTTATTCCCTGCTCTTTAAACCGTACCGAGCAGCTAGAAGGTTGCAGAATTAATTCCATTTACAGCAGCAGCATAGTCTTAACACACTGCATATTGCAAATGACATTTGACCAATATTCGTGCACTACGTATGTAATCAACCAAACTACAACAGTCAAGTGGTGGAACAAACTACGTATTTCACCGAAGATTATGAAATTTCGGCTCACGACCAAAAGGTGAGCCCAGGGAAACCAATTTGGTCCACAGTAGCTCATGTAAGCATATTAAATATTGACAGCTACTGACCTTGGAGCAGTTTTCAACCACCTGCACCAATGACCTTGGGGCATCGGTAACTTCCTACTGCATACATTTGAAAAGACAGGTGAGTAAGGTGATGTAGATATTTTAGAGGCAACAGCAGAACGAAGTAGATAATGTGTATGTTAATGAGTCTTCAAACCTCGTTACCAGTCAGAATGTATGACTTATATTTTTATTTATATACCATATATAAAACAGCATATTACTTGTTTAGACGTAGCCGCAACAATACCCCCTGAAGATGTTAAACTAACTTTAAGACAATAAGGTGACAGATTTACAAGATTGTTTCACTTACTAATTTAGTATCCACATCTCTCAACCATGTAGAGTTTCGTGAGTTCTGTTTGGGGGTACTGAGTTCATCTCGTTTGAAGTATTTTCCAGGCGAATTAGGAGCTAAAAGTGGACACTAAATTAGCTTTAGGATCTCAAAGTTAACTTCGGATATTCACTATGAGACTTTCAAATCTCATCGTGTTAATGTCTTGTTTTGGTATAGAGAACTTTATATAATCTCTTTATTGTTTATCTTCGAAACCTAGAAACTGCCATAAAATGATTCGAGGTCCGTCGTCATATAATCTACAAGTTGAAGTTAAGTTCTTCCGTACGATGGTCAGCTAACGGGATTTTTTTTCATCAGTATCACTGTTCACAGTTGTCTTGGTTAACGCTTTCACTGGGACTTCTGATATCCAATCTGCGCTTAAAGTACTAGGATACTGTCTACAATACTGTCTCCGACTCAGCAGATGAGTTAACTCCGCACCGTTTGGCTGCTAGCCTCTATGTCAGCATACCAGCTGCTTTCAATCGAACATGGTTTTCACTAGGATGTTTCGTGGCACACTGGGAAATAATGAACATCTGCCTTCAATATATGTATATATATGTGTGCTGAATATTTAAATTTTATCATAGTAAATTCCGCGGGTGTATGAGCCACAAGTGAATGTTGGTATAGACTATCGGCTTTTAACTCAAGTAATTGACTGTTAGGATAATCCATCGGAACAAGCAGCAATTAGATCATCACCATTATCCAATCAATAGGAAATTCAACAAATGAACTACTTTTCAGGAGAGAAATAATAAAACAGAGTCCATATTAATGTCTGTATCTACTTCAATCGTTGCAGGTTCATCCTTGTGGTGTAAAAGTGGATAACTGATGCACTTTACTAAAGATCTAAGAAAACTTTTAAATATCATGTGGATATATCTCTGCCTTGTTCTTCGCCTCCAAATAAATCATATGGCATATAAGTTGTTTGCATTCTTATGTTCCCAGTACATGATTTTTACCTCTGAGTTAGGTGGCATTTTACCAATGAGTCTTTATAATTCTTTATTCTGAACCAAGCAAAAAGTCGATACATTCTCACATTATTATTATTGGTGAAACTATTCTAGGTCATGAACTCAAAAATGCTAACGAAATGCACTTAATTTGTCAATATCTAAACCAGTTGGTTTACTTTCATCGATGTACCTCCTTTTGATTTGCAAATATGTTGTGTCTCCGATTGGTTAATCTCTCAGTTTCAGGTCTTTGGTTGACAGTATCGCTTTCTGTATACTTGTAATTTTGAGCATCTGTATTTAATTCTTTGCAGCGCTTCAGATCATCATATTAGTTGTTCACTGTGATTACTATTTCTTTATATGTAGTCTTTCGTAAAATATTGGATAGTTTTCAGGAGAATGCATCTTAGGACCAGTCTAGACTTTAGTTAAAAAGTGTTGCTGGCAACCTAAAGTAATCAGCATTTTGTGGTCATTTCCATTTTATTCTCACTGAGCTGCTAAGATGAATCCTTTTACTCGTTTCAACCCGTCAAACTAGGTAGGTAACCTGAAAACTGGAAGTTCTGTAGCTACATACGGGAGCTTGGAAAGCATTATACATGACACTGCATTGGATTTATGTTGCTTTTAAACAACACAAACTCTACGGTTGATTTGTAATAGATTTTCTTATATTTCTGTTTGTTGTCGTTGGCGTCGCAGTACAAGCATTCTGCTTATTATCAGTTTTATTCAGTGCTTAAATAATTGTTTTTATGAAAAATTGTTGTTGATCGATGTTTTCAGATTTGAATTACAGTTCTATTCAACGTGGTGATAAATTATCTGAAGCACACTCTGCTTCTTGAAGTTCTATGAATCAAGGTTCTCTCACACAAGATTCAACTGATGAAGAGTATGAAAAAATTAATTCCGTGAGTATATTGGATACGGAAGCACATCCTCTTCAAAATTTCTGTTCAAGGATTATATTTTCTTTGCCACCGTCAAACGAATATGTTACAGCATCTGACACATGTATACATAAACTACCTTTTGATATACTTATAGAAATTTTCAAATATTTGCCAGCTTCTGACTTGCTGCGCAATATTCCAGCTGTTTGTCAGTTGTGGTACAATGCATCGCATGTTCCTACTCTTCGAACCAGCTTGAGTTTGCGTCGTCAGACACCATCGGAGTTAATCCTCAGAGGTATTTTAAGTAGACCGATGCTTCGAGTTTTGCGTTGCGTGGGGCTTGAACAGGCTAAATATGTACTAGCAGATGCTATCAAGTTTTGTCGTATGCTCACATGTCTTGATATAGGATTTACTGCTTTAAGTGAACGAGAAACAGTTATCCTGGCACAGAATCTCCCACCAACATTACTTCATCTAAATGTTGAAGGAGTGAATACAATTGAGGTAATCAGTGGTAACTAATTTAATTTAAATGTTTGAAGTCTTTTAACTAAATTTTTTATTGACGTTAGGGGTCTGAAAGCAGTTTAAACAAAAAATATACAAATTTTTTTATAGCTAAATATCAAACACTATAAAGTAGGGGCATTATCCTTAAGTATTACATTTAACTCCACTAATCATCATATTTGTCGGTAGGAGGTTAAGCTATATATATATATATATATATATATATATATATATATATATATATAATGTAGGGGCATTATTCTGGGCAACAGGTTTGTTATGTTTCAAAATATTTACTTCTTATGAGGTGTCTTAAGGTGAGCGAATTATCCATTTCAAAATGCCATCATAATATTTTACTTGAGTAGACGAAATGGACTCCACTGACTATGTGGAACCAAGTACCCAAACAGCCTGCCGATGGCTTGTATTGACAGATCTAAATTCGGTTATTGCAGGTATTCTAGTGATACCATCGTTGTGTGTGTGTGTGTGTTTATATGTACCTTGCATTAAAGCTGTTAGGGACTTTGAACTGATCCCATGCTCAGAGGAATTCTAGGCAGACTTCAAATTCTGAAATCAATGGATGAAGCATTTTCAATGGCAGCATGTGGTGGCGAAATTTTTCGTATGAAAGAAATACAGATAGGTCAGTATTTGGACAGAAATGGCTTCTATCTTGTAACTTTTAAAGTTATGATTAAGTGGGAAAATTGCCTTCCGAGAATAAAATGACAGATTTGCTTAAATGTAAACATAGAATTGGATCCCTTCTGGTAAAGTATAATTCCGCACTAGGCATGTTTATTTTGATATTACCCAGTGATATAGGGATAATGACTAGATGGATTAAGTGATTATTAATACGTATCACTTATCTAATACAGAATATTATTTGCTCATTAGAATATTTTTGTCGAGGAAAAACAATCTGAGAAGTTTTTTTAAAAGTAGAGAAGCGAATATAGAAATTTTAAAAAAAATGTTAATATTGATGAAAACTGTACTCCGTTTGTCTGATATTTAAAGGTCATGCGCGTTTTTAAAACCAAAAAAAACTATAAGTAGACAAAAGACTTAATGAAAATGAGTTTTATAGTAGTGGAGAAGATGACTTGTAGCTCAGGTAGATAGATATTTTTGATGTAGGTTGAGTTCTATAAGCTAGAAGATTGGATTGTGATCTTTTCACTGTCCTTCTACACAATATCTGCAACATGAACTTCTATGTAAAGGAATCTTTGGCAATTCTATGCGGATTGAATATCTATGCATGTGTTTACTTGTAATGATATTCAGTCTGTCGTTTCTCCACTGTAACGCGTACAGTAGAGCATGCTTACTCAATAAAAAAGATATCTTTTCCGAGTCACTTTCATTAGTATTTAGTTGTATGTGCCAATAATAATAATAATCGCCCCATAAACCATGTGGTGCGGCCGAGGGTGGGTAAGCTTCGGTCTTCATCTCGAAATGCTATCATTTGGCCATACATTCATAGCCTGTGTCAGGTAAGTCCTCCGCCTTCACATGGCGCAGGTTTTCCTCAAAAAAGTGAAAGGACAAGTGCGGATGTCTGTCACTTAAAAACCAGACTTGTGAACATGCATATCTACCTAGGGGAAGCTGAAAAATCCTGATTTCAAACCTATAGTTTACATGACGTGCAGAATTATGAAAGAATCAAATAGTGTATGAATCTGGTTTGGTATTTCGTGGCATATACATTCACTGTAGACAACTACTGTGATTCACTTTATCATATGATTCATTTTCTTAAAGTACGTACTAATGATGACAGTTTTACCTGCTTTTTATATACTCTTTTCTATTCCAGTGCTATTTATTATGTGCCTTTTTTTTTCTTAGATCCTTTTCATCACTACTCTAGTATTGAAATGTCCAAAACTAGAAGCGCTCAACCTGTCACATTGTGTTTCTGTCTGTGATTCATGCATTAAAATAATCTCAGAACGATTACACAATCTATGTCGTCTTAATTTAGATGGTGTATTATGGATTACAAATACAGGAATTTTATTTCTAACTGATAGTGAAGCTGTTCAAAATGGTAAACTTAATGCTCTATGGCTTGATGGTTTTGAACTTTCAAATTCTGGATTAAATGAATTTATTATTCGATTGGGAAATGCTAATCAACGCTTATTAAATTGTCAAAATCCTGTCTATCCTGAATCTGATCATCATCATCATATGCTAGGGATTCAACAATTATGGATTAGTTTTTGTGATAACATTGAAGATACAACAGTCATGTCTATAGCTAACCTGTCAAATCTTATCTCACTTACCCTAAGAAAAACACAACAAGTTACGCCTATCGCTTTAAGTTCATTATTTGTCTGTCAAACTGCTGATAATTTAAATCGAAAATTTATTTTAAAATATCTTGAATATTTAGATTTAAGTGAAGCACCAGGTGTAAATGATTCTGTAGTATTAGACATGTGTAGTTGTTGTGGTAGCCGTCTACGTTCACTTATTTTAGACTGGTGTTGGGAGGTAACTGATATTGGCATTAATGAAATAATTAACGTGTGCTGTTGTCTACATCAATTAAGTCTTATCGGAAATTCTACTATACACGGTACAGCTTTATCTGAAATTCCAGTGAAAGTGCCAAATTTAGTAATATTAAATTTAACTCAATGTAATCGTATTTCAGATGATATACTAGAGACACTTGCATTTAAAATGCCTAATTTATATGTTTTTGATTTTTTCGGTGAACGTGTTGGTGGAGAATTGAATGATGTCTGTCATTTTGATGTATCTAGAGCATTGGGTAAAGTGCCGATATGCAGTTGTTTTCGATAAAAGTTATGAAATGACACGGGTCAGAGGGTCAGGGTTCGAACCTTGCTCCATCTACTTCACTCAGGATAAACTAGATAATAAAATTATCAGCTGTGTTACACATTAGGTGTGTGTGTGTAACTGACATAGTGAGATTGTTGAGAAATCTCATCCTAGTAACTGAATTCATACTATAATAGTTATGATTTATGCGAGTTATCCTTCATGCTAAAAGTGAATGATAAAAGTGCTAAGCAGGATTTTGATTTTTTATTATGAAATAGACTTTTATGTATTTCTGTCACCTGTGCTCTATAATGAGAAGTAAACTTTTGTAATATAATTTCAATCTAATTTCTGTTTGTTTGTTTGTTTGTTATTTTTTCCCCTTCAAGTGTATTTTTTATTTGGTTTTGAAATTTTTTTTCTATTCCACTGCTTTTCTGATGTTTGGTGATTTTGCTTTTGTTGTTTTTGGTTGCTATATTCTAAATCTTCCATAGACACTATGTATATTTCAGTTTTGTGTACATTAATTATGCATAATACTTACTATTTTTTTTATTATCTAGTTAAGAAAAGAAGAATATTGTTTTGATAGTTATAAAGTTTATTTTTCTAAAAATTATCTTTTGAGAATTCATTGCCTAACAGTGACACGGCAGACATGCGTGTTTCATTCTTCTCCTGGGACGTATGTCTGCGTGCATTTTATTTGATGAAATGATGTTTCTGCTAGCATTTCACTTTACTATATATCTATTCGAACACTTGCCTTAATCTATTGCTATGTTAGCAATTAGTAGCTAGATTATTATGAATAATGTGTCGATAATACTTCCATGTACCGGTAGAAACAAAGGTAATTTTCAAGTGTTGGTTTGTAGGGATTTGATTGGTTACAGGATTTTCATCATGAGCTGACATTAATTAGAGAACCATTGGAAAACCAGTCAGGGAGTACTGGACAGCTGTTTCGTCCTAGTTAGGGACTCTTCATCAGTACGCACCCACCGGGATTCGAACCCAGGACCTTCTGGTTACAAGGCAGGCTAGCTCGTATGCCAATAAGCCACTGGGACCCGATCCACTGGCCAGTCCATGAATTCTAACTTCTGCCGATTCGTGACATAGCGCGACCCGTAGCCAATGTCTTCGGCGAGTATTTGTCCTCACATCCGACCTGCTGCACCCTACTGGACGAATCCCGGTGGGTGCGTACTGATGAAGAGCCCCAAACTAGGATGAAACAGCTGTCCAGTACTCCCAGGTTTTCCAGTGGTACTCTAACTAATGTCAGCTCATGATGAAAATAAGGTAATTTTGTTTGCATAGGAAATGCGGTTCTTTTTTTTCCCCCAGTTAGTACGCACTTTTTATCGACAGAGGACAATAAATATAAAGTTCGCTATTAAAACTCCTTTAGGTATATAAAATCAAAAAGAGGAAAATATTTCATGAACATTGGAAGTAATTTATACCTGAAGTTTTAGGTTACAGGACACAGTGCTGTGTGTCATGTAATGAAGCGTTCAGACTGCAAGTATCCTAGCAACTTTTCTTCTATGCAAACTTTGGTTTCTTCTGACAAAGTTCCTGGCATAAAACTATACGTAAAGCTGTGGTTTATTGGTATAGGTTCTCGACTTCTGACCGATGGGTCACTGGTGCGAAGCCTTCTTCACCTATCTAGGGTTGGGCAACCAGCTGTTATTATCATTGTGTTATTTACTATTGTTTCCTTGGATTCCGAGTGGAATATAGGGCTTCAAAAGCACATCTCTACTTTGTCCTATTCTCTGCAGTCTTCTTTGGCTCGCCTCACGATTGGCCATAGTCTCTCATCTTCTCCTCGCACGATCTCCTCCATACCACCTCTCGGAAGCCCAACTTGTCATTTCCCATTCGGCTTCCACTCGAGTGCTGGCCTGGCGCGTGATGTCATTCGACGGTCTTCTCAGTGTGTACCCAATCCATCCCCATTTTCTTCGGGATAACTGTTGAGCAATAGGTTCTTGGTTGATTCGTTCCCACAGTCTCTTGTTGCTAATTCTTTCTGATTGGCCATTTGATCTTCAGTACGAAGTGAAGGCAACTATTGATAAAAGGACTAGTATCACCAGCCCTCACAAAATAGGTGTTGCTCATTGCATGGAATTACAAGTGGTTGTTGAGTAAAATTCCATTCCATAAGACCATAAATGTTATCGTTAGTTCTTCATACACATGATTCCCTTGTGAATTTCGACAAAGTAAGAAAGACCGAATTTAGTGCCCCCGTAACTAGAGAGTAAACTTAGTAATATTTTGATAAACTTTTATAGGCGACTGAAATGAGCAGCAAGTTGATTTTCGGTTACAGGTTCAATGACGACCTGACATCAGTTAGAAAACCAGTGAGTACTGGGCAGCTGTTTAGGCCTAGTTTGTGACTTTTGAGCAGTACCCGCCCACTGGGGTTCGAACTGTGGACCTAGCGTTTGCATATCAAGCTCGTAGACCATTCAGCCACTGGGACCCGATTCAATGGACCATGAATTCCAACTCCTGCCAGTTCGTGACGTACAGCGTAACTGCCAGCCAATGTCATCAGCGAGTAACTACCCTCTTACTTGACCTGATGGATCCGTAAACTAGGCATATTTCTGTTTGGTTAACCTTTGAACTTTGTCTTCAAGTCGTGTTGGTCTCTTAGTTTTTTCTTTTTACTGACAGATTCCTATCTGTTTGACTTTTCACACTTTTACTCAGGTGGATATGATTTTCTTTGCCAGTCAAGTTTTTCTTTTAATTTCCTTGATTAATCACACTACCATTGTTAAAAAATAACGATAGTGTGGTTAATCAAGTAAATTAGAGATCAACAGCACTCAGCATGCAAAATAAGATATGGATTTTCAACTCCAATGTGAAGTCAGTGCTACTATACGGATCAGAGACTTGGCGCGTCACGAAGGGCACTTCGAACAAACTACAGACCTTCATCAACAGCTGTCTTCGCTCAATACTCAAGATCAGATGGCTGGCCAGAAAAGATTAGCAACAGGGATGAATCTCTGGGAGCGAACCAACACAGCAGGAACCGGTTGTGCAACAAATATGCAGGAAGAAATGCAGGTGGATTGGCCATACTCTGAGAAAACAAACCATCAAGTGACATCACAGGAAAGGCCATCACTCGAGTGGAACCCGAACGGGAAGCGGTGAGTTGGTCGTCAGTGCAAGGGTGACATGGAGGAAGTCATGTGAAGAGGAGATGAAAGCATGTGGGCAGACGTGGAACCAGGTGAAAAGGTGGGCGGAGAACCGAACGCAATGGAGACGTGTGGCTGAAGCCCTATGTTCCTCTAGGAACTAAAGGAAACGATAATAATATAACAATGATCGTTATTTTTGTTTAATATGACAACCTAGACTGGAGTTAAAATCGTTACCCTATTTATTGAATACACATTATTTTTACTGTTGTACTGTACACCTTTCGCACACATTACTGGAATAATTGTGATATCAAGTTCCTAAAATAAATAAAAAACTACTATTCACCAGAGTACAGCTCGAATAAGGTGGTTACACGTGACTGTGAAAGTGAAAATCAATCACATGATAAATTAAAAGTTCACAGTAGGGAAGTCAAGTTTTCATTTTAAATCTGATGAGTTGAAGTACACATTGTTTTAACTACACCTTTTTGGGTGGTGATTATCATTTTGAAGTCAGTATTACAAAATCCTCAGTGCATATATATATTGCGTAATTTCAAAGCAGATCGCTTTTATTCATATCAAATATAATTTGATTTCAAGAGAAGTACTGAGGACTGTTTCATATTATTAGATGGTTGGAGGCGATAGGCGATGTCATCTATGTCCACTCCATTAACGATAGCACAGACTAAGAAAAAATATGAAAACCAGTACAATATTCAAAGAAACCTTAACCAGTGAGAGATCGAGGTGGAATCTTACTCAAGAGACATTCTCTACAAATACGGAACTGTCGTCTGGGTTAGCTAAGATACTAGGCAGTGTTTTTGGGAGTCAGAGATAGTTCCATCAAACTGGTGTAAATCATTGATTATCCGAGGTTCTTAGACGGTAGAAAAATCTTCCTGTGATAATCGTAGAGGGATTACCTTGACTTGCATAGTACCTAAAATTATAGGTCCAGTAGTCATGCGTAAACTGAGACGTGCTCAGAAGAAACAAACCCGGTAAAACCAGGTGGACTTTAGTCTAGAAAGAGGGTTTATTGATCATATCTTCACCCTTCGATTAATTGTGGAACATAGGTATACTTATCGGCGTCCAAAACTTGTCATATTTTCTGACCTGAAGGAGGCATTCAACCGAAAGGTACTGTGGCAATGTTTAGCAGTAAACAGAGTGCCAAAAAAAGTATATTGCACTAACTAACACGCTCTACTCGAACTCACACAGCCGTGTAGGAGCTTACGGAGAGTTTTCATCTGAAGTTACTACAACCAAAATTCTTCTGATGTTTGGTATGCCATTTGCCCTTGTCACAAATAAGGTGATGCTGCAGGACTGATCTGCACCGACTGTTACTCTGAAGAAAGGAAGTGAAGTGTCTTAGTATGTCGAAAACTTCACTTATTTGGGGAGCTACACCAGCCCCAATAAACTGATTTCTGACGAGATTTCAGCACGGATACAAAGGGATCATTTGGCATTTGATAACTTACGTCATCTCTAGTCTAGACAGGATATCGACCGGAGGATATGTATGCCGAGCAGCAGCAGTTCCCTCTATCCTCTTTTATACCTGTGAGACAAGACCACTGTAATTGGAAGATATAAAAGGCCAGTTGTCTTTGACTACAGATGTTCACTTTCTGTCTCCTGTGTGTAGCGGTTAGGCATCGAGTGGTAAATAAGGAGGGTAAGTCATTCGTTGAGGTTATTAAAGGTGAACCGATTAAGACGGCTAGGACACATCCTGCTCATTCCTAGCCATCACCTTCCTCAATGAACAATGTCAGACGATATAGGATTGGGTTGGAAAAGAGTTAGGGGTGGTCGAAATAAAAAGTAGCACCAGTACATGAGGTCTTTCACAGTTGGTTTGAGCCAACCACGTAGGGGGATGTAGACTTTTTAGTTGGGGTCATCTGGATGGCTGGAAACTATTGGTAATATGGTTCTAAACTGCTGCACTTCTGTACAAATTTCTATGTTGCAACTCACTCAGTCAGTGACTTAATTTCTACCAAATGCGTATCCGATTGTTTTGCTAGGAAATTTACCGAAAAGGAATATATCCCTGTAAAATTCCATAATGGATAAGATTTTATTTTGATAAATCACACAGTGTTGTACAGTTATATTAACTGATGACGTTTCGAGCACAAACTATTGCTCATAATCATATCAAGTTACTCACACAAATTTTTTCTTTCATTTATATACATGTGTGGAATCGATTAGATATTGGAATACAATTCAACATGAGATAATGTACATTCCACACATGTATATAAACGAAAGAAAAAAGTTGTGTGAGTAACTTGATATGATTATGAGCAATAGTTTGTGCTCGAAACGTCATCAGTTAATATTATAACTGTACAACACTGTGTGATTT